TTCAATGAGTTATGCTGGTCAATTCACAAACCTCTGATTGTTGAGGTCATTCATCATCACACTATTTTTGTCCCATTGAATAGTAGGTTTAGGGTCACCTTCAGCAGCACAATCAATAAGGACTGAATACCCCTCAATAGCCTCCGATGTGTTTTGTGGGAGCACAGTAAATTTTGGGGTGACTGTAAAATATGAGATTTAGTATAAATTTAAATTCTAAAAACAGCAACTTAACGTAGACTTTGTTACTGTATTTAAAATCAACTCTTACCATGAACCTCAATTGTAATGGTAGCATTGATTGTGCCTTGAGCATTTTTTGCAACACAAGTGTAACGACCCCTGTCAGATGACTGAACTCCATTGAAAATCAGAGTTCCATTGTTAACAGAAACATGGGCAGGAAAATTCTGCCCTGATTCATTTTCTTTAATCCAATGAATAGAAGGAGGAGTTGAACCTTGAGCTTTACAGTTTACTTTGGAAATTGCACCAAGTTCCATCTTTTTGTTAACTGGCTGAGGTGTAAATTTGAGCTTTTCTGAAAATTAAGAGAGAATTTTTTAAGAATATACTCAATAATAGAATCACTGCTACAATTTAACAAAATGAGAAAAGCATACCTTTAACATGAATTTGTGCCGGTTTTGAATGAACTGGGTTAAAACCAGTGGTGTTTACAATACAGACATACTCTCCTCTATCTGAGGTCAGAACTGAATGAATCTTTAAAGTCCCATTGGACGGATCTGCATGAAAATGGGTGCCCTCATTTCTAAGCAACCTTCCATCCTTTCTCCAACGAACTGATGTAACAGGAAACGCCATCCCAGAAAACTGGCAAGTGAGGATAGCTGGATCATCTTCTTCAACGGTTGTGGTGAGTGGATCTTTAGTTATTGTTGGAGGTGCTGCGATATAAAAAAAAATTGCAATATTACAATTTATTTATTTCTTTAAAACATTTAAGACACCATTGCTTTATTAATACGTACTGGCCACAATTACTTGCACAGATTTCTTATGAGTTCCAGCTAAATTTTCTGCAACACATGTGTAGTTGCCACTATCCTCTTTGGATCGAGTGGATTCAATAATGAGCTTTGATTCTTCAACACGCATGGGGCCAGAATTAGGAATCATATTTCCTTGTGGATCGATCCATGTCACTGTAGGCTGGATCAAAAATGATAAAGGTGGTAAGCAAAGTTGAGTCAGAATTTTAACATGAATGAATATATAAAATAAAGGAAAAATTACCTGTGGAATTCCTTTAGGAGGTCTGCAAATAAGGGAAAACTCAGTATTTTCTGGAACAATTGCTAGATTGTTGGAAGACAGCTCAGGTTCAAATGATGAAGCACTCAAATTCTCCAAATCTGCCACAGAAAACAAGATATTTTAAGAGGAAATTTAAAGAAGATTTAGAAACATACAATAAAGAATTCTCCAGACTTACATGCAAGAGTCAGTTGAGCAGTGTACTTCTGTGGCACTTCTGTTGATTCCTCACGAATACCCACACAGGCATAAAGTCCTTCATCCTGACGTCCAACATTCAATATGATGAGAGAGCCATTTTCCAAGATTTCAAACCTGTGAATCAAAAGAAAAGTTTAACAGGAAAAACGTGTAAAGGCATTTTTAATTTCCAACACTCTTTCAAAAACTGACATGCAGGGTCTCAAATAAGTCCTGTACAATTTACTGGATTTACTAAACCACATGCAGGCGGGGGGTGGGTGGGCGGGCGCCGCGCGCGGGGTTGCCTTTCGTCGCTCACCGTGGCACCGTGCAGTAGCCCCGAGAGAAGAAGGCAACCCGCCCACACGCATGAATAGTACACCACAAAAATAATACAAGGCCTAGAGGACACCAGGTATTAACATGTGCTGATCATCCTAAAGAAGCACGAAAAATTTACAATAGAAGCCAGGACTTGGACGTGAGAAACATGGAAAAACATATGAACGCCGCAGCACGCAGGCGCATAGGGAAACTTACGCGCGCTGTCTTGTAAACACCTAACGAAAGTAAACAGAGCACACCGGGGCATGTATAAACACCAGGGCCTTCCCGCCGGCCACCACCCTTCTGGCAAACAGATCATAGAATTTGTGATGCAGGACTGCGGCCCGACTGCCGAGCGCCGGCGAGTGACCCTCCCGGGAGTGCATACGAGCGAGCACAAACAAGCAGCAACGCACCGGCTCTCGCCCTACGGCTCCCATCTCTGAGACCAAAATGAACTTCCCTGCCCCCCCCCCCCTTTTGACCAACGAAAACGGCAGGTATGCGGACTGACCTGGTGGCGTTCTTGAGCGGCCCGGTGTCCTTGAAGTACCACTCGGTGAAGCTGGCGTCCCGGTAGCTGCAGTCGAGGCGCACGGAGCCACCCCTGCGCGCCACCGTGTCGCGCGGCGGCACCAGGACCAGCGGGGTCGCGGGGGCCGGCACGGCCAGCGGGAAGCTGCGGCCCGCGGTCACGGTGCCCGCCGCGCTCGACGCGCTGCAGCGGTACGCGCCGTTGTCGCGCGCCGTGGCGCCGCGGAGGTGCAGCACGCGCCGCGACCCGGACGCGCCGCCCGGGCCCGAGAACGACACGCGGCTGTTGCGCGTCACGCGCTCGCCGTTCCTGAAAGCAGAAACAAATTAGTCAGGCACGCTCGGACATCTCCGCCAGCTGGTCCAGGAGTAGGGATTTTAAAGTAACAAAGAAACCTTCCTGAAAAATTGTTAACTTTTCAAGAGGGAAAAAAAAAAAAACATTTTCTGAAATTGGAAACGAAATGAAACTTCTCGGGAAAAAATGGAAAGAACAAAACCTTTAAAAATTCCTAAGAAGTACTTTTCCAGAAAATTAAGATCTCTATCGAGGAGGATGCAGATGCAGCTCATCTTACCGGAACCACTCGATGCGGATCTCCCCGCTGCCGTCCACGCTGCAGGCCAGCTCCACGTCGCCGCCCTCGATCACGTCCTCCGGCGCCTCCGGCGTCTGCAGCTCCACGTCAGCGCTCTCGGCAAGCCCTGCGAACGGGGGAAAACAAGTAGTAAGTAAAAAGACGGGCATATGAGACGATGATTTGGTCATCTCGTACCCGGCAAGGCTGTACATTGCGGGCCCCGACGCCCGATCTCTCACAACTCTCCTATTACACACACCGGGTGCTCACAGTATCAGGTAGCCAGCGGGGCTTCAGGAGAACCTGCGGACCTGCAAGGCCTCCAGAGGGCCGGCCCTGCAGCACGCAGCGCGCCGCACCGCACAGCTCCCCGCTTAAAACCAATTAACTCTAGTGTCGCGCACAGTGAACACTGAGCGAGACTTGTGTGTGGCGCAGACATTCCCTCCTCCCTCCCCTTCCCTCCTTCTAACACACGCACTCACGCCCGAGAGGGGGCTGCGCAGCCGGGCGGCAGTCGTAAAACGACGTTTATTTGACGAAGCTCGGGGCAAGCCGGCCGGCCGGCCGCCCTGGGGCCAGCACAGGGGAGGGCCGGGAGGGCCGGGGGAGGGCAGGGAAGGGTGTTGCCCTTTCCCACTCCTATCACCGCCGCGCCCGCGCCACCCAGCCCCGCACTCGTTATCAGCCCCCCCCCCTCCCCCTTCCCCCGCGCCGCCGGTTAGCTCCGGCTGCCACCTTCCAGTGATATCGCGCGCACGGGCCGCACGGGGCTGCTGTTGTGTTGATGAGGAGAGGACGTGGTGGTGGAGGGAGGGGCTATACAAGGGGAGGCGGCCGCTGTTCCACTGGTTCCACTCCCGCTCCACCACAGCAGCGCCAGACGCCAAAACGTGATTCGGTTTGGCAGGCACACTGTATCCAAGACTCAACCAAGACTGTTTTCCTACAGTCCCGAGTCTTGACAGTCTTGCCCCGGTACGTACCGGGTGTTTCATCAAAGACACAGGTGCGGGTGGGTTTGCCTACCCAAGGGCCTCTGGTGCCTTGCAGGAAGCGCGGGCAGGCAAACCCACCCGCACCTGTGTCTTTTATGAAACACCCGGTAAATGTCGGATGTATCAGATCGGACGCTGCAGTGTTGCGGGTTTGCCTACTGCCTCCGCCCATGAGGCGCCAAGTCCCCAGCGGCGCAAGAGGATTTGCAATCCCGCAACAACTGCTGCGTCCGCTCCGGAACATACAGCCCCAGGGCGAGAAGGGGAACACTGTCGGGGACGGCCGTTGAGGCTCCCAGAGGATACAGGTGTTCCTCCTGCACGGCCTCCTCCGACGGGGATGGAATGGATAGGGAAGGACAGTGACTGCGGGCAGTCACTCACACTAGGCGGCGACAGCCGCACTTACAGAAGCTCGCCCGTTCACTCGCCCGCGTTTACGGCAGGGCGCCATGAAAAATTCAGCGCAAAAAAGGACCACCATGGTAGTAGTGCTGTAGCGGGGATAGGGGCGAGGGGAGATTTTATATCTTGGAAATAAAACAGCGGGCCGCAACCAAGTGGGAAAGAGGGAGGGGAGGGGGGGGGGCGTGCCGATCACGGCGTGATTCCGCATACTCGCAGCTGGCGGTCCGCATAAGGGCGTGACGGCTTTTCGTGTAGCTTTGGTAATGACGGCGGCGATGACTTCCATCAAACATGAGAAATCGCGTAGGGCTCTGCAGTGTCGACTCCAGCGTTCAGCGAGTCCGTTTGGGCCGTTAGGAGTCTCTCTCTCTCCCCACCGTGGTTTTGGCAGTGTAATACCCGTCGGTGGCGGGCGCTCGCACCACTGGCAGGCACCTGCCCGTCCTTCCGTCCGCCCGTACGGTACACTACGCCCCCCGGACGTGCCTTGGCCTCATCCTCGCCGGGGCGTAACGCTAACGCGACATGTCCGTCTGTACGCCCCAGAGTCCGGCCGTCCGCGCCCGTGATGGTCCGTTCGTCCGCCGCAGTGCCTGCAGCGAGGGGGGAGGGGTGCTGGAGGTAAACAGAAGGCTTCACGGCCCTCCGATAAACAGACGGGCATGCGTCGAGGCGCGGCGGGGCGGGGCGGCGTCGGCATCCGGGGCAGGAAATTATAAACAGAATGTCTCTGCCTTGAGCCGCCCTGGAGAACGGCGAGTCCGTCTCTCAACACCACAGGAGCCGCCCGCCGCGCGTCTGAAAACAACTCGAGTACATCAGCCCGCCGCCCGTCCATTGCACCGCTAACAGTACAGTACATCACGGCGCTTAAGCAGGCGCGGACACCTGCAGCACACCACCGAATGAGAGGATTATAAGGCCCAACTCAAGCCTCCGTCTGCATCAGCACGAGACCCTGCGCAGCGCCATCCTCGACGGCCAACGGCATGGATAATGTCATTCATTAATTCAGATCGAAAATTAAGGAAGCGAGGTTTTGCACACATGGCAACGAATCATTCCGATTCAAGTAAACCCGAGAGTAAGCCAAGAAGACTAAGACCAGAGTGTTAAAAGTAAGCAAGGAAGGAGGGGGGGGGGCGGGCGAGAGGTGCGGCGCCGAGCGGCAGGATGCGCTGCACAGAGACACCGGCCGGCCGGCCGACCGGGACCGGCTTCGAGTCGGTTGCTCTTGTTGTTTTTGTTTCGTTCCCACAGCCGTTCATTATGGACGAATGAAGACGCCGCCGCCGCCACCGCTATCGGTTTAATTGTCGGAGTAAAGGTGAGCGTGGCGTGGCGTGGCGGGGCCCAAGATTACCCTTGGACCTCACGCAGCGCCACGCCGCGCCGCGCCGCGCCACGCCATGCCCGCTCCAGAACTCCGCGCCACCACGCTGTGCGCCGCGCGCCGCACCGCCGGCGGTGGAGACCATAAAAGTTTATGGGCAACAGCATCGACCCCGTCGCCATGGTAACCGGGAGGCGACAGCACGCCGTCCTGGGCCAGGGGCTCGTCGCCGGCCCGGCCCGGGCGTTCCACCCTTACAAACCGGCGTTCAATCTGCGAATCCCCCTACGCGCCGCTCCGCTCTGCTCCGCTCCGCCCGCCGCCGCGCCGGCACGGGATTGGACCGGGCGGACTTTACTATCTGGGGGCCTGCATCTCCTCCCCAGCGGCGCGCCCCGCCCCGCCCCGCCGGGGATCAGTCGTAAGAGGGAGGCTGAACGTAAACTGGTCCACTCTGCCCTGCATGTCATCGCGGCCCGTCCCCGGGGCGAGAGGGGCGAAAGACCGCAGAACTTTTCATGGCCAGCGTGTCGCCGCGTCGTCGCCGCGTCGTCGTCGTGTCGTCCGCTCTCGAAGGCGAGTCTCTCGAAAAGCTAATCTTCGCAGCAGACCCCATCCGCGGCGAAAATAAAAGCAAACAACAACTCCCGCAGCCGCGACGGCGGCGGGTTTAATCCGACTTTCGACCCCGCCTCGCCACGCCACGCTATCTCTCTCGTTGTCCTGGCCGGGGGAGGGGTGGAGGGGCGCGCGGTCAACACCTGCTCCAGCCCCTCCCCCCTCCGCAACCCCTCGCGCCTCGCTCCCCGGCTCAAAACCCCTTGTCTCTCTGGTGGTCCTGCCGCAACAACTCGCATTGCCCGGCCGACAACCCTTGCATCCTTCGACCCCTCCTCCTTGCTCCGCGGCCACGCCACGGACGTCGCCACCCTCCCCTCCCAGAACTACCCCCTCTGCGCGACCGCGAGTGAGATGTTTCTCAGCAGCCTCCATCTTAGTTAGTATAGTACGACTCGGCCGAGCTCGGCGACGACTTTTCGTCTGCAAATTAAATCTGAAATCGTGTCGTAAATCTCGCGGGGGTGGGGCGGGGGGTTGGTAATACCGCCGCCCTAATAAAGACGCCCGCTGGGGCTTATTAAAATATTCATCGGGGCTTGTGAGGGGTGGCGGGGCGTAGCTGGCGTCGCGACATGGTGCGCGGGGGACGCGGCCCGGTCCGCCCGGACGCACAGTTCAAACAGGGCAGAGAGCGCCCGCGTCCGGGGCCGAGACCTTATCAGATGGGCGCCCGCTGAGCAGACGGGACCTCATCAGGCAGAGTACCTGGAGCTGCCCCGCCCGGCCACCCCCCGCAGCAGTAACGCTGGCAACGCTCGAGAGCGTGGCGTTGCGCTTTGTTGATTTGCCAGAAGGGCCCAGGCCGAGACCTTCCCTTTCACTCTCAAAGACCCTTCTGCACCCCTTTCCCTCCTCCCCCTTACAGCCAGCCGGCGAGACGACCCCGCCCCGCGCCGGTCCACTCAACCTTGCAAACAAAACCGACGGGGAAACAAGGCAGGCGAAGCAGCGAGGCATACCTAGATTTCAACCTTTGCCATTTCCACCCTTCACTCACTTGACGCGCGCATCTGCTCCGGGCGGGGCTCGAACCGCGGCCGCGCGGGCCTGCATGGCGTCCTGCTCGCCCTGACTGGCTCGGCTCGCCAGATGCCCTCTCTCCCTTCCTTCTCACAGTTTTGCTCTGCCTCCCCCCAGTACGACGTGTTATCCTGTTATCCTAGCCGCCTTGGCAGCAGGAGGAACTAAACTTGAAAGAAAACTCGCCCTTCACGGGCACGGGAGGGTCGGTTGGAGCTGGAGCCGAGGTCGAAACCGAAGAAAAGAGGGACGTGTGAGCAGTGTTCGACACACCAGGCAGCCTCTCTGCAGGAGCTGCTGGCACGAGAGGGGGCCATATCTGCGGCACAGATTTGGGATGGGGATAATACCGCTCTCTCTCTCCTTGTCCGCCCCTCTGCCAACCCCCCTGCTGATGCCCCCTCCCCCC